CCGTCTATAAATTAGAAAATAATTATAGTCTGACTATTATTTATATGCTTAGCGGTTCTACGAACTCCACGCGGATAACAATATTCTTGGCTTTTGATGTCGTTTTATGTTGAACGGTTGCCCATTTGGTAGAGCCAATTAAATGAACTATGCTTAATTACCATATCAAAAGGGCAGCTCATGCGCTCAGCTTAGGCTAAAAAGAGTCTTTAAGCCTGCTCGTTTCTTTGCACATCTTTTCCATTTCATTTCCAGCTCTGTGAAAATTCCTCTATGACAATTTTTCAATGACAGGCGGCACTCCCATTTGAGGGCTATTAACGTTGAGGCTTGTTACGCTAGTTCGTGTAAATAATAAACCTTACTTAATTATAGGGCAATTGAGTTTATAGCTCGACTCAAATCTCAGCTGAGCCATTCGAGCCGCGCTGTAATTTGAGTTATCTATCAAAAGTAAAACCAACCACAGCGGATGTGCAGCTTATTAAAAGACACAGAGACAATTAGAATAATTAAGAAATTAAAAAGGTTTGATGAAAATCTTTAAAATGATGTCACAAAGCGGCGACTATACTTAATGTAATATAATTGCTAAACATGTTTATTCTCGGTTCTTAATATGCAACATTAAGTATGTCCATAAAGTAGATCAGTTACGAGCATCAGAAATTTTATTTTTACATAGCTAGATGAGGTAACAGCAGAAAGTACGAAAAGATAGCTCGTTTTAGCTACTGTATTTCCAAGCTGTTATCCCACTGGATAAAACTGTAACTTCTTCTTCTTCTTCTGATTGCAATCTACAATCATAAGCCTATTGTTTAATTGCTTCTCTGTCTAACAAAGAATATTTCAAAATAATGAAATTTTCAGCTCAGAATTCAGTAATCTTAGCAGAAACTCTAGGCATGGGGATACATGTCTACAAAGAACTTGGTACTGATCAAATTGCTCCTTCTTTATTGAGCGATATAAGTTAGTCTCCTTCACAAAGAAAGGAGAGAAGAATAGTACATAAATATTGGCTCTGTACTGCCAAGAACACCTACCTCTATGTATTTTACTTTATACCGTCAAAGTCTCACAATCAAAAGGCTAGTCAATTTACAAACCATTTGCTTAGCCAATGCACAAACCTCTAAATGCCTATCATTTGCAGCCCTGACAAACCTTACAGCTTGAACCACAATAACGACCGGTAAAAAATTATTACCATGGCAACAAACACAAGCAAAACAAAATATGTAATTTTCTGCGGAAGAAGCGAAAAGCTAAACAACACAAAAACAGAAAAATGAAACTAAAGACACGCGTTTGCAAAAGAAATTCAGCTAAAATAGCGGAAAATCCACAAGAGCGGAATAAACCATTAAATAATTATCCCCTGAGCTGTGTGGACTGGAGCAGTAACGAGGAGATCTACTTTGTCAGGTCGGTAGAAATATCAGAGATAATTTATGAAATGTTTGATAAGCATCTCAGAGTTATCCACTTCAAATCCCAACAGCGATGATCGTCAGATTTACAAGTGGAACGATGTGAGTCGCGATACCGTGGAGGTGGCGAAGCTGCCGGATGACTTTATACCCACGGATATGCACTGGCTGCTGTTGGGTGGCCGCAGCAGTGGCGGCGGCAAGGGCAGTGATACGCTGCTCATTTGCAGCAACGACGGACGCTTCATCATATTGAACAAGAGTGCGCGGGTCGAGCGCAGCATTTCCGCCCACACGGCGGCAATTAGCTCGGGTCGCTGGAGTCCCGATGGCGCTGGCCTCTTGACCGCCGCAGAGGATGGCGTCATCAAGATCTGGTCGCGATCCGGCATGCTGCGCTCCACGGTCATACAGAGCGACGAGCCGATCCGCTGTGCCCGCTGGGCGCCCACCTCAACGGCCATTGTGTTCAGCCAGGGTGGCCACATCTCCATCAAGCCGCTGGCAGCCAATAGTAAACTGATAAGGGTGAGTTGTGGAGGGTTATTATATGACATTTATTTATAAGCTATCTGAGAGTAAAGCGAATAGAATGAGTGTAGAATGATATATTTCTTAGAAATCCGTATGGGTAATGGAACATTGAATATTATTGAGTCCCGATAATTCTTGTCTGAAAGAGACTTTTATATAGCGAGGCTCAACACTTTAAATTTTTGTTTATATATATATAATCATTTATACAAACCTAACATTTATTAAGCTATCAAAGTGCTAATACACATCGGTTCCATTAGTAAAATTTTCACTAAATCCAAATACAGTGAAGAACTAAAAATTTATACAGTTATGTCAGTTCTCTAAAACACATTCAGAGGAAAGTCAAATCCGTTACTTTGATTATCCATTTCAGTGGCGGGCCCATGACGGTCTAGTGCTGTCTCTGAGCTGGTCGGGGCAATCGAACATCATAGCCTCTGGCGGTGAGGATTTCCGTTTCAAGATCTGGGATGCCCAGGGCGCCAGTCTGTATACGAGTGCGGCCGAGGAGTATGCCATAACGTGCGTGGCCTTCAATCCCGAGAAGGAGTACCTGCTGGTGGGCACCTTCAACATGCTCAAGCTGTGCCACAGCACGGGCGTAAGTGCCACGGCCGACGCAGTCTTTGCAACGCGCCTGAATCTGAACCATCTTTGCCTTGCAGTGGTCCTACAGCAGTGCACGCTTCACGGCGCCGAGTGTGGGCTCCTTTTACGTCTTGTCCTGGTCGGCGGATGGCACTCAGGTGGCCTGTGGCACTGCCACGGGGCAGCTGATTGTCGGCTACGCCGTGGAGCAGCAGGTCATTTCGCGCAACCTGAAGGCAACGAGCACGGGTCGCAAATGCATTGCGCTCCAGGACATCGCCAATGGCAGCAAGGATGTGCTGGAGTTTCCGCAGCGGGTCATCAACTTTGCCCTCGGCTATGGCCATCTGGTGGTAGCCACCACCCATCAGCTACACATCTATAACGAGAAGTACATCAACACCCCGATCATCATCGATGGCCGCAACGATGTGCGCGTCATTGAGGTGGGCAAGAAGTGAGTGGCCAAAGTTGAACTGCAATCGCCATTCTCTGAACTTGCCCCGCCCCTTTCAGGTACTTCATGGTGCTGGATGCCGCCTCGATATGGGTGTACACCTACACGGGCCGTCTGCATCTCAATCCCCGCTATCCAGGCTCGCAGGCGCAGCTCCCGCTCCTCAACTGGCGCTCCATTTCCCTGGGCCTCGATGTGCTAGCCATCAGAGACAATTCGGAGACCTCGCTGCTGCATCTCTTCGATCTGATTCCGGGCGCCTCACGGCAATATGAGCCGCAGTCCCTGCGAGCCAAGCAGCAGCTGGCCGAGATCGCTGCCTGTCGCGCCGGCAGTCCGGACGATCAGTTCATCGCCTTCATTGATACCAATCGAGAGCTGTACATCAGCGAGACACGAAACATTAGCGGCAACTCCTCGACAGATCGCACGGCCAATGGCTCTGACGAGATCTACAAGATCGGCACCCAGCTGACAGCCATCAGGTGGGCCAGCGAGACGAACATCTTAGTAGGTGTGCACGACTCCTGCTACAGCATCTGGTACTGTCCTGGCGAGGGCTCTGCCGATCCCACTATCATCGCCCTGACCACCATCACACTGGACACAGCGTACGTTCAATACCCTAAACACCAAAGCCGCTACGCTCAAGCATGAGGCTATTCTCCTCCTAGTCAACTTGCTAACCACATCAGTTGGTATTCTGAACGCCATCTGTAGTTCTAATGGTCAATTAATGCTCTTTAAACTTCCGGAAAGACTTACTGTCAAAATGTTTCTATTGGTCGCTTATAGCTTGGTCAAGAAGTTTTCTTAGTTTGGAAATCACAATTTAAAATTTGTATTATGCTAACGCTTCAAAATACTATTTAATGTGAATGCTCTTCGAAAGACTCAAGCTACTTGATGTAGGTCAGGAAATCAAGGACTGCTGAGGTTTACTAAAACAGTTTCTCATATACAATAGATTGGCCTAAGCCCTAAGGTATCTTCAGCATTTTTGCTTCTGAAAGTACTTAGATCTAGATTTCCATTGACTGAAGCCTTCTCGAATTGCTCCATTTTTAACTTCCCATTGATTAGAAGTCTTTCTGATTCGTCCTTTTCAGTGAGTTTGGCAAACACGTAGCCATCGATAGTTTTGAGGATGCCGTGATCACCTTTCGCTGCGCTGGAGCTCTGCTGCCGGTAAACGTGAACATCTACTGCGAGGTGTTGCATCGCACTCTGCAGGAGGGTCAGTGGCAGCAGGCGCTGAGGATCTGTCGGCTGGCGCAGCACACGAGTCTGTGGGCCACCCTGGCCGCCGTCGCCACGCGCAAGCATCAGCTGCAGCTCAGCGAGGAGGCCTACTCGGCTGCCCTCCAGATCGACAAGGTGAGCTATCTGCAGTACCTGAAGACGTTGTCGCCCTCGAGCGCCGAGCAGATGGCCGAGAACTCGCTGATGCTGGGTCGCTTGCTCGAGGCGGAGACCATACTGCTGCACAATCGCAAATATGAGCAGGCCGTAGCGCTGGCCCTGCGTATGCACAACTGGAAGCGGGCACTCGAAATAGCACTGAAACATCAGGCGGAGCAGCCCGATTTGGAGCTCGTGCAGCGCGTGCTGCGGGAGCGACAGCGCTACCTGAAAGCCCTGCAGCGCGATGAGTGGGAAGCACTATATCTCAGTCAAATCAAGGACGGTAATATTAGTGAATAAAGATAATGAACTCAAAAAAAAGAAAAGAAAAACAAAGATTTTATAACTCGTATAAACATTTTTTGTTGCATTAATTGCTGAAGGACAATAAATTGATTAGAAAGTGACGCAAAAGATCAATAAAAATATGTAATACTTTGGTATATTTCTCAGGAGTTCCAATGCCTTTTAATGCCAGTTACGTGTGAAAGATTTAAGATCCTATCAAGGCCTTTTGGTGCTTTCAATAATTATCAATTCTATCAATTTCTTGAATTGTCAGAGTTGCTTTTATTTACTTTAAGTCTTTGGATTATCTAAGTTTTACCAAATGGAATCACAGATTCCAGCATTTCTTACATTTAACAATTACAAATATCCCCAAATTGTATTTCAACACTTTCACTTACATAATTTTAATATCCCAATTCGATTCAGTTCAATAAGCTGGGCTAACCATGGGCTTATCCTCGATAGCATTTATAATATTATTCGCTGCCAGGAGACTCATTTCGATGGTTGTCTTCATGGTCTGCGTGCCCAGGTGGGGCAGAACCACTGCAAGAGAAATTGGCTTATGATAGGTTTTATTTAAATAAATTTGAAGTAAAACGCACCACAATTTGGCAGCTTAAGAATGGGACTGTCTGCAGGCAAGGGCTCCGGCGTGGTTACATCTAGACCCGCAGCAAAGATTTGTCCACTGCTCAAAGCCTTATGCAAATCCACCTGATTAACCAGACCTGCAATAAAATATATATCGTATATAAATATATGTCATATTCGACATTTATACTATAGCATTTATGTATATTTACTCACCACCTCTGGCCACATTGACAAACACTGCGCTGCGTTTCATTTGAGCAAAGGCCTTGGCATTGAACTTTTCACGCGTTTCGTTGGTGAGTGGTGCAGCAACCACCAGAAAATCGCTTTCCTTCAACAGACGCTCGAAGGGCACGTGCTCCGCCTTGAAGTCTATATCGTTCTCTTTCCGATTCCGTGCCGTATAGATTATCTTGGCCACGTCCCAGCACTGCAAGCGCTTGGCTATGGCCTGGCTAATGCCGCCAAAGCCAAAGAAACCAATAACTGAATCACGAATCTCCACGCCCATACGCCAATCAATTTGCTCCGTTAGCCACTGAGAGCTGTAAGAGATGGAATGCGAATGGAATTATAGAATTATTGGATTATAAAAAAAAAAGCAAATTTAATAAAACCAAATAAAATACTAAAATAATTTTTACAATGATGTAAAAATTATTTTAGTATTCATATTTAATATCAGCTAGGTCTGTCTACATTTAATAATAATAACGTTCACTCTCGATCTCTATTCAAATGTTTAGGTTAAGTTGGCAGACCTCGAAAAGCTCAAAAGCTCTCGGTGCAAAGCTTTCACACACAGCTGCTACTCACGTCTCAATGTCTCTGCGACCCGCATGAAAATGTCGACCGGCTGCAATCATCAGGCCAATGGCCAGATCTGCCACCGAATTCTTCACCACGCCCGGCGTATGACCCAACGGAATCTGGCGACGCTTGAATTCCTCCACGTCCGCAAAGTCAATGCCCGAGGACATGGTGCTAACGGCACGCAGCTGCGGCCCGGCTGCATCGAGAATGGCCGCATTCAGCGGCTGATAGTGTGCCCAGAAAATGGCATCGACACCGCCCACCTTCTCCAGTATCTCATCGCGGCTGGGCGGCACACTCTGGCAGATGATAGTCTCGGCGCCGCGAGAGCGGAGCAACTGCAGCGCTGCCACCGGCACCTGTGGATGCGAGACGAGTACTTTGAACGCTCGCGAAACGCACATTGTGAACTGAACCACTCGGTATTTAGAGAAAAACTAATGTGAGGCGGATCGTAAACAATGCTTGAGCTTTTTTCTGTCAAGCTTTCACTAGCTTCCAGCCACTACCTCTTCACCTCCTCTGCCCATATCTCGCTCTCTCTCCCTCACTCTGTGTCAGTCCTGCTCTTTGTAAACGAAACACTCAGTATTCAGGCAAAACTAAGTT